TAGGTGAGTGGTCTTCGTTGGCAGCTTCAGAAGGTTGGCTGGTATTAGAACCTAACTATCGAGGATCAACAGGTTATGGTGATCAATTCGTTAATGAAATTCAGCATAGACCTTTATCTAAGCCAGGAAAAGATATTCTTTATGGAGTTGATCAATTGATTAAAGATGGTATTGCTGATCCATATAGACTTGCTGTCGGCGGTTATAGTTATGGTGGTTATTTAACAAATTGGTTGATTACACAAACGAAACGTTTTAATGCTGCTCTATCGGGTGCTGGTGTTGTTGACTTAGCTTCAGCATGGGGTAGAATGGATCAACCTTTAGTAATAAGATATTTGTTTGGAGGATTACCATGGGAAGTACCAAGTAGTTATCAAAATGAAGCACCTATTTATTATTTAAATAGAGTACGTACACCCACGCACATCATTACTGGTGAAGATGATAAGCGAGTACCTGCAAGTGAAAGTTATATTTTGGAACGAGCACTTTATCATCTTGGTATACCTGTACAATTAATTACTTTTCCAAATGAAGGGCACTCATTGAATGATAATCCTTGGTATGGAAAAATAAAAATTCGAGAAGAACTCAAATGGTTACAAAAATATGGTAATCAATCACTGAGCTACAAGGAATTATTCAGTCATAGTGAAAAATCGAACCTGGCTCATGCTTTACAATTATTTATGTTTTTATTTTCCATTGTAATAATAATCAACACATAACATTCGTCATGTACTAATTCACTTTAGATCAAGAGAATGCGAAATATTGACAAGAAATTTTATATCTTTGATCGAACATTATGTCTTCTGATAATCATCACATTGTATCTTATAAGAGTACTTGATCATCGGATTTGGGTGGAAATGGGTGCGGGAGTAGACGGGAAAGCGGTTTTCACCTTTCGATCTCGTTTAAGTAATTCTTTGTGTTTCAATTATAATCTCGTTGTGTAGAAAAAAGATAAAGAGGTGCTTTATTAATAAGAAAGGAGAGCAAGAGCCGCAGAATATAGAGCAAAGAAATTTGAAGTGAATGAGAAATGTATCGACTTTAGATGAAAATAGTTGCGATTAAAGTGATAATAGTAATGAGCAAGAGGAATCCAGATAAGTTATGTCTGGTAACGGCACTTATTTCAGAACGACCTTTGTAGTCATAATAATAAATACCAGCATTAATGAAAATAATAGTAACATGGTATTAGCTCTTTGACGAAATTTAGGTATGAAAAAATTCCGGCAGATTATTAACGAATGAATTGAAACATTTGTATCCAAATTGAATATGAATTGATTAACAACTTTAGAAGTCAGATTTGAACTGAGAATACCATTCAAAGGAAAAGTCTGATTTCATTGTAGAAAGTTAGATTTTCTTGAGAGTAAGTGGAATCCTGAAAACATAAAACAACGACATAGCAATCAGTAAAATCAATAATAAATCTGATAAACGAGCTATGTGTGTAAGGTAGTGTGTATTCAGTAAAAAGAGCAAGTTATACGTTTAAAACAATGTTACTTGTAGAGAATAAGTACGTAATAGATCGCTGTAAGAAAAAAAGATGAATAGAAAAATCTTACTCAATCATTCATTTTACACTCATTTAATGGTTTATTTTTAGTCTATCAACCAGGCGAAGTATTGTAGAATAATCAATACAAACAATTCTATATAGCTTCATATATACCAAGATCACATAGTGAAAGAGAAGGAAAGAGAAAAATCGATGTCAAAACTATATCTTAAAGATGTCCTAACCATGAAAGAATAAAAAATATATGATATTGTTTTCGCTGAAATGAATGGTAACATTTGCATGAAATAGTATTCGAACGAAAAACTGATTAAATTTTGTTGAATTCCCAACGATTGCAAAAGCATGTGGGTTAACTATTAACGAAATTTATCTCATTGTTCATCGTTAAACATACTACATGACCTCTGACTTTACCATGTGTGTGGGTGTGGGTGGGTGAGAGTGATGGTAGGTATTCCTTCTTCATCTTCACCCTCACTCGCCCACCCATCCCATCCACCTTCAATTTCGATTAAAACAATATATTTTTTGGTTAAAATCAAAATTACATTAGATTTAGAAGTTTATTTTTGAATAAAAATCAAATTATTGTTGATTTTGGAAGATTTCAGTCGATTATGACTTTAATTTTGGTGCACAAAAATCCAATTAAGATCTGATATAATCTGACATTTTTCCACTGATATCAGGAAAATTCAGCTTTCTTGAAAAATGAATGTCTCAAGAAGCAAACATTTTGGCTAAAACTTTAAAAATTTAAAGAATTATGAAACCTTAACATGAGATAATTCCAGCTTAAATGTCTATCATCCGATATTCAGTGCATCCCGATGCCATAGGTTAGAATCTCAGTAAAATGGTGATAACTGCGAAAGTAAGACTCATGGAGATGGATCATTGTAGGCTTTTTCTAGCCTCATTCGGGTCTACTTATGAGAATAAATGCAGTCAACCGGCGACTAACACTTGGATAATTTCCTTCGTTAGTTTAAATGCTGGACTTTTCAAGTTGTACATTTAACAGAGAATTAAATTCTCTGTCAAAAGAGTACCTTTGAAAATTTAGTTCAGACGTATCTTTAGAATACACGCCACCAGGATTGAATAGTCTGAATTTTTTAGCTTATTTTCAATTTCAAGAAACATTTATAATAAAGTAAAACCTAAATCATATTTGAAAAGGCACTATTTTGATACAATATTTGGTTCTCTATCAAATTTACAAAAACTTCAGCATTCCAAGTTACTTTCCAAGTGCAAGCATACTCAATCCTGAAAAATCTCGATGCAGGACTGTACACTTTGGGCAAGTGTTTGTTTAGTCTACCACTTACTATTCGTTTTGAAAAATGAACGCGGGTAACCGTTTTGAAAAAAAGCAAAAAATTCAATGTTGTGCAGTAGGTGTTATGAGTACATTGTAGTCGGAGAATTGCTTCGAAAAAAGGAAAAAAATCAATTTAGTAGAGTGGATGTTATGGGAACATCGGTCTCGTGCGATCATTTCGAAAGGAAAAGAAAAAATTCAATGTTGTATACTCTAGAGACTAGTAAAATAAAGAGAGGGTGTGGATGTGGGTGTGATTTGCGTGTGGAAGTGTATTATGTACCTATTATTACATCCACACCCACATCCTCATCTTCATTTCACCCTTTGTATAATACAATATTTCTGGTCAGAAACATGTAAGAAAATCACACTAACTCTCTACCTTCTGCAAGCTAGTACTATTAACACCAAGAAATATCTATTCTTCTTATCACTTTTCTTCTCTAAGGTATGACATCTCTTATTTTTGTCTAAGAAGATAACAACAGAATGATAGCTCGAGAAAAAAACACAAAAAGGTGGTAAGAGATAAAAAAAAACGTTTTAATTTTCACTTTCATCGTCAGACATACAAAATTTGAAACACTCCATCCTTTGACTAAGACTCAATTATTTTTAAAGTAGCAAATATTACAGGTAACACAGAAATGCGTACACTTTATCATGGGTGATTGACTGAAAGTTTGAAACATTTTGCCCAACCTAATAAAAAGTAGAAAGGAATTTGCTGAGACCAACAAAAAGTCATTTGATTAATCTACAATAAAACTACTGTTTCCTGAAGATTCATCAATAAAGAGTGAGAAATCATCTAGAAATACTCGCACTACTCACTGATTACGAGAAATGATAATTTTTTTTCATTTTTTTCAAAATTTAGTAGCATAATAATGCTCACAAAGCTCATTGTCATCATCATGCTTTTGACTGCAATAGTCAGCGTTATTAGATGCCGTGAAGTAACGATCAGTAATGTACTTCCCCGCCGAGATACAGATGGAAATATAATGGATGCTCATGACGGTAGTATCTTTCTGTATGATGGTCTCTACTACTACTTTGGTCCCAGTTACGGCCTATGCAAAGAGCCACCGGGTCCATCAGGTTGTACTGTATGGCACCCAGGTGGATGCGGTTTCCAACTCAATCATAATGTTAGTCTTTATACTTCGACGGATCTTGCTGCATGGACATTTCATGGATACGTCTTTCAAATGTCTTCGATGAAGACTCCAGGAATAATGTTTTGTCCTCGCGTTTTACCCAATCCGAAGACGAAGAAGTGGGTTATGTGGTTCAATTTTCTGCCAGCTTCAGGTACAGGTGTATCGCAATCGCAGTATGCTGTGGCCATATCGGATACGCCACAAGGTCCTTTTCAACTGGTCACTGAGAAGGTTACTACTCTAGCATGGGAAAATACAGGAGATTTGAATCTTTTCCAAGATGATAATGGAGATGCTTACATCATTTATACTTCGCATATTGATGGTAGCATTTACAATCCCAGCCACTTAATGTCTGTAGAAAAACTCTCTGATGACTATCTTAGTTCACTAGGTAAGGAATTTAATAGTGGATATTTTGGTCAAACCTTTGTCGAAGCTCCTACAATGTTCAAACGCAATGGAATCTACTATGCAGTATTCGGTCAATGTTGTTGTTACTGTGCAGAAGGTTCCTCTGTTACTGGCTATAATTCTTCGTCTCCTCTTGGCCCCTATGGGGCAATGAATAATTTGGGAAATGAAGGCCATGCTCAACAATACAACATTCTCAAGTTTAGAACTACTGGAGGTGATGTTTATGGATATTTGTGGCAAGGTGACAGGTGGCAAAGTTCTCCAGATGGTGCGAAAGGACATGATTTTACCTATTGGACGCCTCTATCTTTTGATCAAGATGGGTGTGGGTGTGGGTGTGGGTGTGGGTGTGGGTGTGGGTGTGGGGTATCGGGGTGCAGGTGTTGGTGTGAAGGTGTGGGTGTGGGTGAGGTGTGGATGATGATACTGTTTTCACGCACATTCACCACCTACACCCTACCTCCACCCACACTCACAACCACACCCACACCCACATCCTCTCTATTTAGTGGTGGTGTTCGTAACTGAATCTCATTCGTTACGGACGAACAACAGAACACTCTTTGTCTCAACACAATATATATTGCCTAACTCATCCTTAATCGTTGTAGTTCACATATTATACATATCTTGATAATGAAAATTTAATTCTTCGAAACGTCGATAATACTACTATATATACATGTAAATACATAGCTTTTACATACAAATTGTATATATAACAAAAAACAAAATTATACGAACAATAATAACTAGTCTCTATACAATTTTAACCCTTAAATATGCTATATGCTGCTGTAAAAACAATACTATTAATTTCTAAATTATTGCCCATAAACATGAATAACTAACATCCAACATACTGGGTTCGAGATCAATTAAATGACCGAATTACTCGTGTGCATGTGAACGATTTACATCCGATATTATTATTATAAAACAATTTTGTTTTTAACCGATTAGTTATTGATCTACATTCATTTTTTTGTACGTTTACTTTTATCGTTTATGTTTGTACTTAACGTCCTCTATCTATTTCTGTATTTTTTTTCTGTTTATTCTTGATTATATGATGATTCTGTTGATTGAAATTTACCTTTTGTTTTCTTTTCTTTCCGTCTCTTTTCTCTTCTCTTCGATAGTGATATAGATTGTCACATAGCTTTTGTTTGTTATTATTGATTTTCTTTCCTTTCTGTTGCTTATGTATTTAGTGTTATGTCCTTTCGTCCTCACTCACCTACCCATAACCCAAATGAATCAATTCGTGATTCAAGTAGCAAAGCACAAAGTCGTCATAGTCGTAATGTTCGTCTAGATGAGCAAAACAATCGTTATCGACACAATTATCTTCCATTTGCTATTCCATCATCGTATTATAATATCGTACATGTCCATCGATTTACTACCATTGATACTGAATCAGATCGATTTACATAGGATTTATCTCTTATTCAAGTTCATTCTATTCCTCAACATTTACCATCATTTATTGTATTATTTGAAATGAATCACCTTCCTCCATCTAATTCGTTATTAAATCGCAAAAATTAAATTATTATTTAGTCTTTTATTTCGTTTAGGAAATATTATCTTCTCTTGGGTATTGATATCCAAAGAATTGAAATCTGCTGTTTGAATGAATTTATTTACATGGCCAGTGCCTGCATTATTGTTCAACTTGAAAGATAAAATTTTTGGCTGATATCGATGGACACTGCCTCCTTGTAAGGAATATGGCACCGTCTTTGAAATCTCCATGTATTTGTATCACCAATTTTCCTTATGATAAGCCGACTGACAAGCGATCATTACAAAACGCGATCCACTATAGTGTCAATCGTTTTCTCAACAAATCATCAACAACAAAAAAAATTTGGAGTATTATTTTAGATCCCGATTATTCACTATTATCATCATCCGAACAACACAAACGAATTAATTATACAATTTATGACTGCCTCGCCGTTATCTTTCCATACCGAGCTATTTATGAAGAATGGTGGTTAATAAAACTTCGTGGAGCAGAATTAATATCTTTATTTATCTCAAATGCTTCATCTCATTCTTCATCATTACCATTATCAACCTTTTTAGAAAATATTTTCGAAGATGAAAGTGAAGAAGATGATGAAGTAATTGTTTCTTTTCTTTCTAGTCAACTTGGTACAGATACATCCGTTAATACCACTTGAAATGTTGAAATTCATCATGATATAGTATCTGGTGGTGATATTATAAATCCTGTTTCATCAAATCAACATTTATCTTCTGATGAACAAACTCAACCACGGCGGACACGTAATTCAGCGGCTGCACGAACACGTCCCAGTCGAAAACACAATAAGGTGATACATTCATATAGGGATCGACATGTTACGTTTCGCAACGTTTTTATCATCGATTTACGTTTAAACAAATTAAAAATATTCTTCGTGATCATGATGCTCGTTATGTTCATTTGAAACTCAATAAATCTTCACAAGTATTATCTATTGGAATGAAGAAAGCTACTTTGGTGGATTTATATTTTGACCGTTTACCTGGTGATCTGTTCGATATGGAACATTATCAACGATATTGCCGACATGCACATTGATGTTTTTAATTAGATTTTTTTTTTGTTGTTAAGTTTTTTTTTTCTTTTTCTCATTTATTGGTGCTGAAACTCTTTCGTATGGTATCCAATGTTTTATTTGTTTTCTCTGAAAGTTTTTCTTTCGTTGTTCACAATAGTTTTCTGAGGAATACGTGTGTTAAGACCTGTCCTTTATTGTTATTCTTGTTTGTCCACTCACTATACGACAGGTCGTCGTTCTCTGTATTTCTTCTTTATTTCCTTTTTTTCTCTCTCTTCCTCTTCATTCTCGATTATTAAATAAACAATCAGATTATGCACTTGACTGAACTCGTTCCCCTTTAATTCATCATATCGTTTGGTGCAGAATCTAACAGGTTCGGTTTGAACCTTTTTAAAAATTAGATCGGTTTGATTCGGTTCGGTTCGAAAAAAGCACGAACCGATCCCATCTCTGAGCTCAAGAAGCATTGCAATCGGTAATAATGAGAAAATTTTTTACGAGAAAATAGATGCACATATTAACTCATTACACAAGAATTATAGTGAAAAATGTGTTATTAAATAACAGATGTATATTCGTGGTTCTACAACTGGACACACACATGTAACTCTCGTGGTAAATATGCAACTAAAACTTGTCCATGTAAGAAAGAAAATGTGTTCTGCTCTACCAAATACCATTCAAAGAGAGGTGCATGTTGCAACATGGATTAACTTAGTTTAGCATTTCGATAATATTTGTTAAAAATTTTTGCTTTAATTATGTCTTTCTCAAGGGAGAAACAGCGGACTTCAACAGCAGACACTTCAACAGTAGAAACTTCAACAGAAGAGACATCAACGGCACAGATTTCAAATTTTCGAACGATTTCAAAGGACTCCAAGAGACTTCATGGTTGAAGTGTCTGCTGTTTCCCTCTTGGTCTTTCATTACCTTGTTTCATTCATTAGAAAATGATTCCAATTTCGTCTGATCGAAATCAGAAGGGTGTGGGTGTGGATGTTGATAGCTATACATGAGTTACCCACACCCACACGATCACCCCACATCCACACCCCAAAAATATAATGGACAATCATAAAAACACGTGAAATAAGCGAAAAAACTAGTTTATTTTCTAAACGATTCGTCAATGATAAGGGATATAAACTTGATTTTAGTAGTGTAAATAGTGCATGATTGATATATACTTTAGCATTAATTTCAAGCGATTTGAGTGAATAAGAGCTGAGATATAGACAAGGTCATTTTTGGTGGTCAAATGGTACAATAAACACTAGAATCACTCATATATTTGACTACTTATGAATTTTATTTATTATCCGTAATTTGAACATTTAGTTTAAAAGAATGCTTTCCTTCAACTTATGATTTTCTAATCATATGGAAATGATTCATATGTATTGATTCTTTGCATTGAATCGCATATTTAATGTTGTAGCATTAGATTGTCATTATACGCTAAATATTATACAAATACATTTATTTCTCCTCAAGGTAAAGACTGGTACTCATATCATATTGTCTATTCTATAAGTTTCACTCTTGTTGTAGCTATGCAGATTGCTTTATCTATTGATGATAAAACTACAGTAAATGGTGATTCTCCTTGTAAAAAGCTTCAGAATACGTGCTTGAGATAATCATGGAACATGTTTTTGACTTGAGCCAAGACAAATTAGTCTTTTTGTGAGCATTCTCAGTCGGTGACCTAATGAGATATGCTTAGATCAATGTACCTGCTTAAGTCAAAAACTGAGAGAATAAAATTTTTTGACTTGAAACACTTTTTGCGACAGACTTGATCGAAAAAATTCATCTTCACCAATACATTTCTTTGAGAAGTCTAATTTAAGAGAAAGAATATTCATCGTTTGATACGAATAAATGCGACCTAAGATGGACAATATTGAAATTTTCGCCCATCATCACATCAGAGAAAATAATTAACAAGGAAAAACTATTATTGTTTTCTGTCTGATGCATGGTCAGAGTGGCTATATGTTCTGAAAAATAGAGATATTTTCTGAAATTTGAACGTGTTTCTGATTTTTTCTGATTTTGGTAGATCATCTGATTATTTTCCGAATTCTAAACAATTTTGGCTAGCAGCTTTGCTAGTGAACTGAATTTTGATAAATTTCTTGTTTTCATCCATTCTGATAGTCTTATCTTATTTTGTATCATATGAATAAATGCTGATTTATCTGGTGAACAAGATAAATAAAGTAGAAGATGATAGTCACAAAGTACAGAATGAACAAAGATTATCAACACCGTCATCTCGAACGCGGAAGAAAAATAAAGAAGTTTTTGGTGGAGATTTATTACCCATTAATGAATACTCTTCACAAGTACAAGAAATAGATGATTTAATAAAGCACGTTGTAAAGCTTGTCTTAAAATGTATTCTGTTTATTTTGGTAGGGAATTAGCTGTCATAAACATGTGTAATAATGCATATAAGAAATATACAAAATTATTCGGCAATGCTTGTTCACTAACACAATTTAAAACTCGAAAATATGAACCTGATAAAAATTTTAGCAGATGAATATATATTTGTTTTTCATAGAGTCAAACACGGTCACAACAACAGGTCTTAGAAATGTACTGTTAATTAATACTTTTGAAAATAACATATAAGTCAATGAACGGAAACTCGATATGGCATTGAATGCCAATACCTTAACATAATATCGACTAGTTAGCAAAAAATTGCCTTTTCTGATTAATTTCTGATCGTTTCTGATTTTGAAAAAAGATTTTCTGATTTTGAAATTTCTGATCTGACCATTCTGTGTATGATTGTAAAGATGAAAACACAATTCATCGATGTCATTACGATCAATACGAATTTTGTACCAATTAATCGCGCACACTTTCGTGTGTTTTTTCTAGAAAAAGACATAATTGATATGTTTTTTTTCTCATTTATTCTTACTTGCTTGCTTAATTTCGTAATTAAGAATGTTATTTTTTCTGTGCTTATTTGATGTCTTGTCTTTAAATGAAGATACATTGTACATTGTATTTTATAGTAAGCAAGAACAGGTTATTTGCTAAAACATGCAATTATATCTATGAAGTTTTCATAAACATTTTGTTTTTTAAATATATACGATCTTTTTTTAATGTAAAATAATATATGTTTTGTCTGGTATCTGAAATGATATTATAATTTTAAAAAAATTTATTTATATATTTTTTTTCTAACGAGATTGTCTAGTCGTTATGACGATGGAAAATATTCATTATTTCGAGCCATTTTATTTGTTTCGACAAAATATATAAGGAAGAAGTACCAATTAGTTATTTTTCTTTTAAAGATAATGCTTGTTTGGTCGTAGTTGGCGAAATCTTTATCAAATAAATACAACCTAAGAGAAACATTCAAAAACTTTTAAACAGATTTTTCACCAGTTTTTACGGAAAGTTATCAATAAATTCTTGGAAAATCAATTGTATTCAAGACAGGATAGAGATAAGAATTAATGTATACAATATCATTATTTACTCACCATACATGACTATGACAGAAGATCAATCCTGATTTATTTTTCAAAGGTATAATTCTCCTCAGAGGATTCTCTAAAATATATTTACCACCAAGTTTTCACTGCATCTATTTCAATATTTCGGATAGATGATTTTCTACACGAATATCATTCAATATCTTTTGTTCTTTGTTTTCTAAAACAGTTCATCATAACTTTGTACAAAAGAGCAGTTATACTATTTTCTCTGACTGTTCATTCTAATGGTTGCTATTATTGAATACATCTTTTAAATAACAAAAAGGAAATTTTACCTATGTTTTTTTTACTAAAAGACGCTTTCTTTTAGCGCATAAAGATGTAGAGTTCTTCTTTCCTGTTAAGGACGAATTCGCTCAAGAATATACTATAAAGGCTGCGTGCTTCATGTTGATAATAAAAGAACATTTATGGAGCACTATTATTAACTAACTACGAACAAGCTCTTATTTATTTTAAATCAAAATCGAATCACACACATACAATTATTAATGCGAAAATGAAGAAAATAAACTAAAACTTATGAAGAACAAGCAGAGAGTGAAAGTAAGAAAAAGCTAATGAAGCTGCCAGCTTGAGTAACAATATGAAACTACTTAGAATGACATAATGTCCATATAATTGGTATTTGTTCTATTATGAAGGACAGAAACCACTGCCTTTGTGTGAACAAACAGTCAATGCAATATCATCAATGGCTAGGTCATTTCCACCACCACCAGGAGCATCGGATATCATTAAGAGAACAACTGTACTGCTTGGCGCTATGAATGAAAGTCCATACTTTCTCCACGCCAGAGTTGTATCCTCTGGTACGTCTCCTGAGGATAATTGAGCAAGTAATCGATTTCCAAGTGATGGACTTCGAACTTCAAATCGAACACTTGGTTTAATTCTACCAGTTAGTTTCATAATATTCGCCAAGTAGACAGAAAATTCATAACGTAGACCAATACATAGATTATTGACGGTACCATTATAAAACTGACCAGGTTTTTCATCAGCATTAATTAAAAACATGTATCCACCTGGATCACCTGTATGATCTGTTGCATCAGTATGCCAATCATTGTTGAAATCATTAGGGACTCTATTGATAAAACTGAATGAGCCGTCGTATGTTGTAGGTTGAAATTGTTGCTTATATGTTGTACTGAAATTGAAACGATCAGGTGTAAGTTGAGAATATTTAGATAAACCATTTCCAAATGTAACCAATAGAATGGGTTTTTTGTCAAGTATTTCATTGTCACGACATAATCCAACGGATTCTTGAAGAAAAAAAAACAACGAGTTGTATATAAAAGTACATCAAAAAATCAAGAAAATGTAACACTTACGAATTTCACAAGTTGGACCAGTGTAACCACTTGGACATGAGCAATTATTTTGGCTAACACATGTTCCATTATTTTTACACTCAGGAACACAAGTAACTGAAATAGCAAGACAAATCTAAGTTGAATTGAATATTTCTAATACACAAATGAAACAAACGTTATAACATTTATATAACAAATCGAAAGTACGATCATTTCAAGTTAAAATCTTGTAAGATATACTCTACGGTGCTAATCATCTAATAGTACGAAAACTATCGCTTTTAGAACTAAAATAAAATAGAAAATAACGAACAAATCTTGAAAGATGTATCTTTCTGTAATTTAGTATGAAATCATCCAAAAAAACTAAATTCATCTTTTTACTAGTTTCTTTCGATTACTTTCACATCATATGTGTATAAAGCAAAGTAATAACAAAAATCAAACAACGATAACAAAAAATAAACTAGTAGCTAAACTGATCATACTTTGACGTTATTAAAAGTGAATGCTCTAAATTAATCTCATATATATAATGATCGGATAGATTATCACAGAACAATCTGTTACAATATTTTAAAGCACAAAATATTTGTGAGTCAATCAATTGATGTTTCTAGAGAATGATAAAAAAAAAGCACAAAAAATAATAAGAAGAGAAGACTATAGTTCTTATGAACATTGAATACTCAGTTGAAAAAAAGGATTAATATATTTGCAAAAATTCGAAAAGCTTTCCGATATCACATTACATTAGTTCTTGTTTCAATTCAGTATTCAATAGTCATAAGAACTATAGTCATTATTTATTATTTTTCTTCACTCTTGATTATTATTCTCTAGAGAATCAGTGGATAACACACAAATATTTTTATGCTATCAAATATATCAATATTTTGTCAATAACTATTTATTCTAACAACGATTTGTCCATACTGCAGTTTATCCTTGAGTCGAATTGTTCGGGATGTTTTATCCTTTGACAATCTGTTCGATTACTGTAATGGATTGCTATGCATTAACAATTCGAAAGATTGTCAAAACTTCTTCAGGATAGTTAAAAAAACCTACAACAGGTAAAGGTTTCAGTAACAGGTAGTCCTCAATAAGTTACGGATGTCACCTCAGATATCTAGACAAAGCTACCATTGCTCTTCTCATCAGTTAACCTTCAGAAAATTACTAATAGCACTTGAGATAGATTTAAGATGGTCACTAATGGTACCTCAAGTTAACCTGTGGAAAGATACTTATAGTACTCGTTGATAATCCTTGAACAGTTATGAGGACTGTCCCTAGTTAATTATAGGAAAGTTGTGAGAATTATTCTTAGATAGTTTATAAATCAATAGAATAATTTGATTTGATTTAATTTAATTTTTAATTTAATATATTATAAAAAGCAAATAAGTTAAATTAAATCTATTTTAAATTTAAATTGTGAATAATTGAAATTTATTTAACTTTAGCAAGAAAACAACACTTTTATTCTAGCTGGAGATGTTCTTTAGAACTTATTCTTCTTTTCCTTGGAGACATTTCGATGGACATTTAAATTCACGTATGCAATTTCTCTTGTTTATTTTGCGAATAGTCTATTAAAAAACAGATTACTGTTAAATAAGATTACAAGTAAACTAAAATCTGCAATGATAACTTTCGATCAAGACTTGATTATTACCATATGAAAAAATAAACATAGAA